ACTCAGAACAGCTATTGGAGACCCATCAGTGTGGTCCAACAAAACGTGCATCTTAAACACCAGAATCACCCTCGTGATGGTGCAGCCCGTACGACCTGCGTTCCACCGTGTCCACGCTGGGGCAGAGCTCACCCCATTAACATTTTTGGTAGAGCGCAGACAGTTGAAACCCGCCACACACCCTGCTTCCGAATAAACCACACAGCCTGGAGACAATGCAGGAACCTATGGATTTAGGTGGGGCAGGAGAAGGCCACCCAGTGCCATGTCGGGGACCAGCTTCCAAGGAAAGGCCCACTGACCCTGGGGGTCTGCAGGGAGGTCAGTAGCAGCCCGCAAATGCCCCCGTTCCCCCTCCTTCCCCACTGGCTCCTCCTCTACTTCTGGCAGCATCCATGAGGAAGACCAGGACCACTAATGGGGTCTCATCCAGATCCTAGGCCTTTGGTGAGACCTCTGGTTTGAGTTTGCTTAAATTGTTTGCTCAAACTAATGGCATGTTTCTTAATTTCCTGGAGCTTTGGGGAAACAGGCCAGGAAAAAAAACCGCCTCTGATTCATTTTCTCTCCACCTTCTGCAAATGAAAGAGAAAACAGAATGAATGGTGTGGCTGATAAATGAGAGCGGCTGCTTAAAGCCCCGCTTCCCCACTTCCCCCGAGGCAAGATAGGACTACACAGCTCCCGAGGGACTTGGAAGCTGGCTCCTCTCAACGGGTTTCAATCTGAGGCCCCGCCAGCCACAAGGCACAGGCAATCTCAGCCCCATCAAACCCACCTTGAAAGCCGGTGGGAAGATGCTTGGAGCGTGGGAGGGGGAGGAAGACACACTATCTTGTTAACCCTTTTCCTTAGGGGCATTTTGCCCCATTACCCCAAGTCACTTGTACCTTGGTGTTGCAGAATGGGGACATTCTGCAGTACACTCTATAAATTCTTTTTTAAGCTAGCTTGAGCCAAATATAACAGGTAAGCCGTCCAGACCTGCTTAAAAAGGATAAACCCCAGCTAAGCACATAAATTACACCCCACTGCTTTTATCATATAAACACGGCCAGAGAGCCAAGTGCATTAAAGAGGCGAGACACAGGCCCTCATTGCTATCTCATTAAGCCCCTTAAATTTTAGGAAAGAAAATACCTTCACATCTCGGGTCTGGTTTAAACTATCAGGGAACAGATTAGAGTTAATTAATGCCGTGAACTCTGAAGCCGCCAGCCAGGAGGCTCCCAGCGGAATCCACACCTGTCACAGACTCGATTTCAGAAAATCTAAGTGGACACAGACGTTCCCTCCCCTCCTCCCCGCATCCCCGACGCTGGAACCCTAGGTCCCTAATCTGTAACTCCCGAATCTGGATCAAGAGATAAATCCCACCCCTGAGACAGAAAGTCGGTGGACTCCAAGGAGAAACTGTGCAAAGGTCTGTCGCTGGCACTCCAGAAATTGCCAGGGCTTCCAGGCTGCAAGGCGAGACTGCTAAGTTGCTTCTGGCAAGTTGGAAAGAGCTTATCAATTATTCATGCAATTGGATAAACAGGGATTTTATCTTGTAGTGGGAATCAAAAGATAAAAATTCCATTTCAAGAGGGAGGGTGGAGACTGAACTCTGAATGTTAATTGTAAGCTGGAAAAAAAAGAAAAGAAGGAAAGAAAAACTAAGTAAGTTCTTCTGCTTGGGCTGTGCCCTGAGCACTTGTAAGCTTCCCCCCACCCCCAAATTTCTGTCTGCTCCCCTGGAACGTAGCTCATCTGCTCCCCAGACGACGCACTGCCTCTTCTATTGATGTAGTGAACCAGCCATAAAACTTCCACTTGGCAGTTGATGGTGGGACCCCTCTGGATGGATTTTCCAGTCCCCAAACAACACCACCTTCAAAGTATTTCTATTTAAAATCAATCTGCTGCTTCCAGACTGAAATCGGAAGCAGAGGAAAGTTTACAGACAGACGCCTAACACGTCGAAAGGCTCAAACAAAATAAAACAAGAGGAAATCCAACACTCAGGCTACACAGGCCAAAAAAGAATATGACTAATACGACGTCGCTTTCTGTCCTCTTGTCTCCCCTGCCCCCGTGGCCTTGCACCTGGCTGTTCCTTAAAGGCTGGAAAATTAAGCCAAAAGGTGAAATTGGGGAATTAGTGGTTTATTTAGACATTCACATTATTAAGTTTGACCACAGATTGGAAAATGTAAATATATAAATGGAGAAGAAAGTCATACATCCCAGCGTCAGCCAGGCTTGTCCTCGTGTGGTCAGATTCTGAGTGACCGTCATTTTTATTCTTTCTACTTTGTATTTTCCAAAAAATATATTAGGAACACTGTTCATGTTATAATGGGAGAGAAATAACCAACTTTGTGCTTTTTAAATGCTACGTTAGGAGCGTAGATTGATTTTTCTAATTGGGGGACAAGCATAAACTTTATTGTTAAAAAAAATCAACTGTTTGAGGCCATGTATGCCCTCCAACTTGCCTTTTTCAATTTTTCTCCTCTGACAAAAGTCCCTCAAAACAGAGGAATTGTCACAGTAGGTCTGCTGGCTTGCCGCCCAGTTGGGGGGTGGGCAGCGGGGGAGGCTGGTGGCTGAGGACAGGTGAGACCCTGCTCCGGGCAGCTCTTCTGCAAACACCTGCAGGAAGAGTTAGCACCCGCGTGGCACCCCGGGGTCTAGGCAGAGAGAAGCGGAGGGAAGGACCACCTGGGTGATGCCTCCTGCCCTCGGTGGGCCTCAGTTGCAGGAAGGGGGAGTCCACGCTTTCCTCTCTCTTTTGCTCATCTTACGTTCTGAACTCTGAGCAGAAAGTTGCAATCATGTTACTGAGTTCACGGTGGGCTAATAACCCGCGTCTGTGTGAGGCCCCTCCTTTGATGTGTTTTGTCATATTTCCCTCCCCTGTCCCATCTCCACGCCCACCTCCCTATTCTCCCGCCTAAAGGCAGCCTCTTCAATCTGTTGGACGTATTGCCTTAGATACACACACACGAAAACCTGTAGATGCGGATCTGTGTTCAGAGTTTCCATGAATAAGCTCTTCGGCTTCCTACCTCTTTCCCGGGACACGACGTTTTCTAGATCTCTCTGTATGGTTGTGTGTATCTCGTTGGTTTCTCCGACAGCATCAAGGACCCCCAGTGCAGTCCCCATGTTGGACAGACATCTAGGGGGCCGCCACATCCCCCCCCCCCCC